AAAAAAAAAAAAAAACATATGTTAGTAAATCTTGTAATAAAATGAAACGGTTTGTTCTGAAAAGTATTAACAAGCAACTCTGCAAAAGGCTCTTGCTGTGCGAAATATCAATAAATAAAAATTGACACAATCAAATTTTAAAAAATGAAATTCTGAGTACCGTATTTTTCAGCCTATAAGTTGCAATTTTTTGCATAATTTACATGCCCTGTGACTTTTATATGCCAAAGTGACGTATTTATGAATTTTTTTCCACATTTATAAACCAATGTTTGACCATTTTCATTCATTCTGATTGAAAATGTTGAACACTACCATTTACAGCCGCTAGATGACACTCGAGTTGTATGGTATGCCGTTGTATCGTGTAATAGCTAAAAGTGGCTATTAGTGACACAATTATCTTGCCATAGACTTCCACCTTTGTCCAGCTCTCCTTGAGCAACCGTCAAATCAGCTTCATTTAGCTGCGCCGCCCCGGTGAAATGCAGCTAATTTCACCATTAAAGTGCATTTATTAAGTAAAAATTCAACTGAGACACACCTTTGCTATGAAGTTGAGCTAACAAATAATTGTTTTAGGTGCTTATCTTGTTACATTTTGAAATCGCCTTCTGCGCGTTCATGTTTCCGCGTATCGGCTTTTGAAATGCAACTGATTTGACCGTCAAAGTACATTTGTTAAGCAAAAGTTAGACTGAGACACACCTTTACTATAATGTTGCACAAACAAATACTTGTTTTTAGGTGTTAATCTTGTTAAATTCTTGTTCAAGTCCTCCTGTGCACACTCCCACGGCCGCCATTTAGCAGCCAATCAATTTCTGGTACAACACCGGCCCACATTTCCAGGTTGTCAGCGACGACACGTAACAAACGTGACGCATTAGCGGTGACACATGCAACGTATTTATGGATTTTTCCACTTTATTAGACATATTTGGACTGATGCGACTTATAGGGCGGTGCGACGTGGAAAATACGGAATTATGGTGACTAACGGTGTCCAGAAGTGAAGCAAGTTAACAACCAGTGTGTAGCAGCAAATATAATTCTGCAGTAACGTTATTTTATATATTCTAGTGTACACGTTAGAGTTGCTTGTTTGTATAGCCACTACAGAAAATGTATTTGGTTTTTACTAGGTTTAATGTCACTTAATGATCAATTTTATGGCAGTGCAATAAGTACATATGAAGCCTTGATCTTAGTCAGCACTGAAGTGAACCGTGCGATATGTCTTGATATTTCATCTAAGAGTCCTGTGGATATTTCAGTTTTGACCAAGTAGAGGACTGACCGTCTTACAGTGCCTTCCACAGGCACACATTCCACCGTTCCATGCCTTTACCTGTATTTCTCTACATATAGAGGTGAGGATGAGATTTCAGCTACACCACAGCTGGTGATTGGGGGGAAATTGTTCTGCAGCCTCAATATAGATGACTCTTCATTAGAACACGTTCCAGTCAGCGTACTGATTACACCTCTAACTGAGATCTAAATAAGCCATGGGGTTTGACAGTCCTGTCCTTGCTCCCTCTCATTCTTCGCCCGGTGGTCTCGACTCCCTGCTGTTCCCTCATCTCTGCTTAAATCAGCTCGCTGCACCTCTGATGGGACTTTCAATGTTTTGTCCAGGTTCAAACAACTGAGCCATCTCTTTACAGATCTTCCACCTGCTTCCACCACGGTCAGTTTGATTCATATCACAGGCAGAGTGCATTACAGACACACGAGGCCTTTGGGTTCAGGTTGCAATGCCTTCCAAGATCAAAATAATATTTCAGGCTTTATGTCTGCTCACTGCAAAAGTGACAACAAATAAAAGCTTCACTGATGCTTTTATTTTCCCTCAGGTTAAACTTTCATCTGCTTCTCATTGCATTACTTCAGCAGCGGCTCCTATCAACCATGTCAACACTGTCTTGTACCGCTGTGTTCGCTGTCACCACAGAAACACTAACCGTGTTTGTTGATCATGTTTAACTGGATCCAGACAAAAGAAACAATATTAAATTCTTGGAATTTCTATTTTCAGAAAACAACTTTTCAGCTGAAGCTTTTAGGTTTGTTGCATTGTCCCTCCAACACATATTTTCCTGCCTTAAAAAAAAAACGCTCTTCTACAATGTGTTGGACTTGCTGATATCAGTGTGTCGTCATATTATTCCCTCAGTGTGCTGCACTGCCAAAGAAAGTATATCCCAGAGAAAAGTAAGAGTGGTACAAATATACATCTCAGACATCTACACCTCCAGATGCAGGAAGAGGGCCACCTGCATCATGAAGGACCCCACTCACCCAGCACACACACTTTTTGCCCCGCTCCCCTCAGGAAGGAAGTTGAGGAGCATTAAGTGTAGAACCACTAGACTGAGGAGCAGCTTCTACCCTGAAGCTGTTAGACTCATGAATCTCTAACCAGAATAATCTCTGTGAAAAAAATCGCATCGTGTTGCTGCTGATCTGTTTCATGTTGCTGCTGATCTGTTTCATGTAGCTGCTGTTCTGTTTCAATGTTGATGTGTTCATGCGTGCTCATCTGCTCACACAGACTCATGTTCATGTTTGTGCTGATGTTCAACATAATGTTTTTATTTAACCAGATAAAAACCCGTCTACATAAAGCCACCTTAATTCAGACGACCAGTTTCAAAACCAAAAATAGTTTAGTCTTCTTGTCAAAACTGCTTGTTAGACTGGTTTCAACATAAAACTTTAAACTCACTTGCAACCGTTTTTTGTCATCTTAAGATCTGAAGTAGCTGAACCTCTGAGAGTGTGGCAGTAAGAGACATGTGCAGCTTAGAAAGGTGATTTTTATGTCGACAGAATATCAGAATTGTGTCACACTGTCCGAGGAGTTCATGACCCCCCAAGTATGGAGCCTGTTTTGGAAAAGAACCTCAACTTTGAATATTATCATCTGCTCAGATAGGACTTTTTTATATACATGTTTTGGTTGTTTTGGAACATCACCAGAAAAACAAAAGGTTACCCTAATCTTTATGTCATGCTGTTGTAACTAGACACAGGACCTAAACCTGGAAGCTGAAACCATAAAGGAGAGGCGCCTCCTAGTGGCTGCTTGCAGTACAAATTTTAAGTCTCCTCCGTATTTTTTTATTTATTATTAAACCTTTACCAGGAAGAAATCCATTGAGATTATTAATCTCTTTTACAAGGATGTCCTGAAAATATATAAAGATGGGAGATATTTTCCTGACTAATAAATAATAATTACAAAAGAAGAAAAGATTCTGTTAGTTAGTTTTTGATTCATGTAGTTTTTATCTAGCCACTGAATGTTCAAATATGCGTGTTTATTTTAAATGCATTTAGTTTTAATCTGTTACTCTGGGTTGTTAAAAGATGCAGGTTAAACTGTGGTTGACAGCATGACAAAAGAATTAAAATCTACCTTTTTTTTATCTAAAATAAATGATCCATTTATTTCACATTTTAAATGTTTGTGTTCATGTTATTTCCTTTGAAACAGTCTAATAATTTAAAGGAGCAACAAGAGCAGCAGCATGCTCTGTCCCAGTGTTGCTCATAATGGGATGGTCTCTGTTTTGTATGTTGAAGCAGCATTGCACCACGTTTATGACCGACTGATGACACTGCTGTGGTTGTCCTAAAACTGACATCAAAAAGTTCATTCGCCATCTAGTTCAAAGGATTCGGTCATAATTTATGATTCACTTCCCTCTACCATGACAGATACCCTTGACGTTGCGTAGATTTTTCAAAATGAATTAACTCCCTCAATCTGGGGACTTTGCAAGATCAAACACACACCAGTTTTAATGCAGTCAAAGGTGTGCGCAGCAATGATTTGTACTTGGACAGCTATAATTATATTGAGCTGGTCATTGAGATGTGGTTATGGTATGATCTAGAGTATTTTTTTTCCCATTAGAACTGCCTCTACAAACTAAAGATGTTTTTTTAATTATTAATATTACAAGATTGTACAAGAAAACAGTCATTCATTAATACCACATGATGTATTGTTTATTTTCTCACATTATTAGGAGTTCAACAATTTTCAGTCTGGTCATCTGGACCGTTTCTTTTGTGCTGAAACGTTTCACCTTCCATCCAGAAGACTTCATCAGTCAAGGAAACACACAACACAAAACTGATTCTTCCCCCATACAGCTTACTCCAAAGTGGAACAAACCAGTTAAGTTGGTGCAAAGATGGTGTCTTTTGAACCAGTTTGACATGACTGTCGACAAGAAAGAGGGCCGGCACAAGAGGAGGGGGCGTGCCAAAGACACCATCTTAGCACCAACATAACTGGTTTGCTCCACTTTGGAGTAAGCTGTTTGGAGGAAGAATCAGTTTTGTTTTTGTGTGTTTCCTTGACTGATGAAGCCTTCTGGATGGAAGGTGAAACATTTCAGCAAAAAAAAAAAAAAAAAAAGAAGCTGTTTGGATTGTATACCTGGATTGTTGAGCATGGACTTTTTTGATCCTTAGGAGTTATTTTACGTTTCTCAAAAGTGCTTTATCACCTTTGCTGTTTTCTTCTGCTTGTTTTTTATTAGGATTCTTCTCACAGCACCCACAACTGTAAAAACACATTAAATGATCAAAATGCACCGTCTAATTTTTCGTAATGTTGTGTCCCATCTAGAACCAAACAAGACACCATGTGTTACTATGGAAACAGAGGCAGCTCTGAACCCATCCTTCTAAATCCAGGTCTGTGTTTTTAAACGTGGTTGCTGTGGAAACCATTCATTTCACATTTACCTCTCCTCTCGGCCTCTGGCCCGTTCATGTTCACCTGACATTTCTGTTGATATTGCTCTCAGATTGTCTGTATTTATTGAAGAACGTGCCAAAAGGCCACCAGCAGAACTTACCATTGTACATATTTGTCTTCACTGTCCCTGTGTCCGTCCGCAGGGATCTACGGTTTAAGTAATTCACTTCTGGATACTCCATGGAAGAAAGTTGTGGTAGGCAAGGAACGCTTCACTGGGATCATCAGTAAGCCGTCGCTGTCCTGTGATGGACTGGTGCAGGAGCTGCTCAGTTTCCTTAATAACGAGGAACTGTGAGTGATAAACACCTTCTCACTGTAACGACACACTCAACCTGCAGATAAGTGGGGAAGTTATGAAGAAAATAAGTCTCAAACTGGTAAACTTTTTATTGAGGAATAAATTAAAACTATGCAAATTAGGAATAAGTGTCTTGTGAGATTGAAACGCCACAAGATTTCTCATCAGATTGAAAACTATCTCAGAACACGACCAGCACGCACAAGTTGTGAAATTATCCCTGAAAATCTTTCCACCACTTTAAATTGTTTGGCGACGGTTTAAAAGTCGACTTGTGAAGACGGCTGTCCCCGCTGCTCCTGTTGTCACTGCAGCTACGTGCTGAGAGGAAGAGTCCCTGTCGACCACTTGTTGAAAACAGAACAGACCTAAAGTTCACACGGTCAGCTTGAAGCTGAGGAGATTAAAATCAAACCTCTCAATAATCTGAGTTGAAAGGGAAAGAGTATCAAAAGGAGGTGGAAATGTCTGACTGCACCTTTCACACAGTCATGTTTGATTCTAGTTTTTAACTCGTTTGTCTAGATGATTGGGTGATACTGTTTTTTGTGTTTGTTGAACAGGAACGCACCCGATCCGATCCAGGAGAAACAGGGTGATGGTTTTACCAAGTCTTACATCCAGGCCTTGTCAGCCTTGTGTGTTCGCATCCCTAATTATGGCACAAGGTCAGTGATTCCCATCATCAGTACTTTTGTTTCTCGGTCATAAATTCTTCTGATTGTCTCTATTCACCCAAAAAGGGTTAAAAAACAAATGTAGACTGGACTTCTATTCTGAAGCAGAAGACATTTCACTTCCGTACAGAACCCACATCGTTTCTCCTGGATCTGAGCTTCGACCAACGATCGGACTCGCTTCTCCAGTACCCCTGAATAGACCTTACCAGGGAGGCAGTGATGCTCCTGTAATTGGAGCACACCCTCCGGTCCCCCTTTTTGAAGAGGGGAACCACCACCCAGTCTGCCAATCTAGTAGAACTGCCCCTGATGTCCACGCAACGTCGCAGTGGCGTGTCAACCAAGGCAGCCCCACAACATCCAGAGCCTTAAGGAAGTGGGGGTGAATCTCATCCACCCACGGAGCCCTGCCTCTCATACAGTTCTATAAAACTTGGAACTCCACACACTCCACATTTTGAATTGATAAAGCCTCCCGGATGGGAAGTGAAATGTCTTCAGCTTCGGAAAAGAAGTCCATTTGTTCTTTAACCTTTTTTTGGATTGCTCGAGACCTGAATGACTGAGAACCTCCACCAGTAGTTTGTCTCTGTGGTAAGTGATAAGATGGTGCTAGGCTGCAAGTCTGCTACCAACTGAGGAGAAATCTTTAATGTAATCAGTCCTTCACAGCTTTTATGGCATGGTGCATTGACAGATCCAGGGCTCCCCTTTAGCCAAAAAGTGAGGGACTATGTTTTTAGCAGTGCCAAGAAGCATCATTTGGCTTTTGTTTTGTGTGTAAATTGTAGTTTCTAGACTTATTTAAAGAATGATCGGAGTTTGTGTGTTTTTGTCCGTCTTCCCACTCAGAACCAATACTGTAATCCTGATAGACGCAGAAGGGAATGTCACCTTCACAGAGCGCACCATGCTCGACTGTGACACAAGCAAATGGAGCACCAGATCCTTCCAGTTCAAGCTCCAGGCGTGACGAGATGGACTCCCCCCACTCTGTGCCTTTCTGCAACACCTTTCCTTCCATCTCGCCCAGCCCCTCCGCTGCAGCTCCACTTCCCCGTGGCAGCGAAGTGTAAATGAAAACTTGTCTGCACTTTTCTCACCTGATCACTAGCTGCCTGATAAACATTAGCAATATCAATTTCTTGCTTTTGGTTTAAGTTAAAATGGATTTTTTTTAATGTGTGCTCATTAAAAAAAATGCCAAAGGACATTTGTAATTTTGTAGAAAAAGTATTTTTGCCTATGTCACAATACAAATGTTGTTTGGCTCAAAAATATCCCATTTGTTATTAAAAGAAATCATCTTTTCTATCTGCAGATCCATACCATATTTCACGTGCACTCACCAGACTGCTGCTGGAATTGAATTACTTTAAGAATTCATGTTGAACATTGGGTTTACTGCAGCCGTCATGAATGAGGGTTACTTTCTTACATCTCTGATCATTCCAACACAAACTTTGGGGTTAAATGCAAAATGTCCCACATGATGAAACTTTGACCTCCTCAGTGGTCGAAGGTGATTGAAATGAGGATTACATTTATTTGATAATAAAAACGATATCCAGACTCTTCGCTTTGCTCTTGTCATCTAAAGTATGTGATGAACGTTCTTTTGTTAGTTGGGGCTTTTTTTTTTTTAAACAATGTTTACAATGTTTTCGAAGTTCTGTTTACTTCTGCTGCTGTGTCTGAGTGGTTAGAGCAGTCATCTTCCAATGGGAGAGCTGGGGGGTTTGATTCCACCACTATGCATTCACATGTTGAAGTGTCCTTGGGCAAGACACTGAACCCATCATCGCCTCTGATGTGTCTCCCATCGGTGTATGAATGTGATCTAAAACACTGATTAGTCTATAGAATGATTTGTTCAGATTAGCTTTGTAGTAGAGCACTGGATGAATGTGTGTGGAGGTAAATGAGGACAGGCTGTAAAGTGCTGAGTATCTTGGTTGGATAGAAAAGTGCTGTACAACTACAGTCCATTTACCATTCATGTGTTTTTGTGTTTTTTAATTACATGGTCTGTATGGTGAAGTTGAATGGATGTAGTTCAAGTACAAATACCACAAAAAAAAAGGTTTGCTAATCTAACAAATGGATTTAAAGCTCAAACTGGTGAAGGTGTGTGCAAGAGACTTGCATAAATTAAACATATGGATTACAGCACGTTCATCTGTGTTTTTATTGGTTTGAGAAGAAAGATTCAGGAAGGCGCTCCCATTTCACTTCCTAAAGTTTTTTATATACGAAAGTAGAACCACATCCATTATTATAAAATAAACTTGTGTTGCATTTACTCTGAATATTTAAGTTTGAGACTTTCAATGTAAACAGTAACACTGCTGCGTGTCCAACAGTGACACCAGCTGGCCAGTTGGAGTAATGCATCAGATTTTCTATCAACTTTAGACATTTAAATTTGATACAGTTTGGATAGTCACACTATTTACCTTCAGAGATTTTGTTAATGTGACAGAGTCCCCTTTTCCTGTTGGAAAGACTGGTTCAGGGGCTTCTATTTATATAAACCCACTCAAACCAGTCCTCCCTGATTTTGCAACAGAAAATTTGTTCTGAAAATAAATTGGGGGAAAATTATTTGAAAATCAGAAAATGCAGTTTAAGTATTTTTTTGGACAAATCTTAAAAAAATAGAAATCACAAAAATAAATTACACTTGAAATTCTCTAATATATATAAAACAATTTCAGAGAAATTGATTAAAAAAAAAAACTTTTCTAAATCGTATCCAAAATTGATATAAAGTTGTCTCAAAGATTTAAGACATTAAATTACAAGTCTTGAGATAAAAGTAGTCCTGTTTTTTTAGTTTTATAAAATGTTTGTTTTAACAGAACCTGCTCATAAACTCTTAGCAAAAAGTAGTTTAAGTATACTACAAGTATACTTATTTTACACTAAAAATGAACACTTCAAGTTTACTTTTTATAAACTTCATTTGATATACTTAAAAGTAGTATAAAAATGTCCCAATTTAGTCCAAACAAGTATTAAATCAGTATACTTTTAGTAGACTATACAAGTATGGTGTGTAGTACACTTGATATACTTAAAGTATTGCAAAAATAAACTTCAAATTTTTGTTAAGGGAATACATGCTTGAAAAGAACAACATGCAACTTTATATCATCAGTTGTCAAAAACTTTATTAAAAGTCTGTTCACTGCACATATGCTTTGGCTGGAGAGACGCTGATAAAAGTATTGCTACACAGTTATCAGAAAATTATTTTTAAAAACACCCTAAAAGTGTCCTCCAACTGTGGTAAGAACACTCAAAATAAATGTGTGCATGTTACGGTAGTCAATAGTTGTGCAGAACTAGAATTTGAAAACAAAAAAATTAAATCACATACACGACATATACAGGTCCTTCTCAAAAAATAAGCATATTGTGATAAAGGTCATTATTTTCCATAATGTAATGATAAAAATGAAACTTTCATATATTTCAGATTCATTGCACACCAACTGAAATATTTCAGGTCTTTAATTGTTTTAATACTGATGATTATGGCATACAGCTCATGAAAACCCAAAATGCCTGTCCCAAAAAATTAGCATATCATGAAAAGGTTCTCTAAACAAGCTATTACCCTAACCATCTGAATCAACGACGTAACTCTAAACACCTGCAAAAGATTCCTGAGGCTTTTAAAAACTCCCAGCCTTGTTCATTACTCAAAACCGCAATCATGGGTAAGACTGCCGACCTGACTGCTGTCCAGAAGGCCATCATTGACACCCTCAAGCAAAGAGGGTAAGACACAGAAAGAAATTGCTGAACGAATAGGCTGTTCCCAGAGTGCTGTATCAAGGCACCTCAGTGGGAAGTCTGTGGGAAG